GATTGACAAGGGTGGATAAACATTCATAACATCATACACTGTTACCTCTCATACTAACTACTGGAGACAACTCAACAGCAGCAGGCAGTAAAAATCAAGTTTCTGAGCTTAGGAGAAACCTATTGAGCACAAAAAATATAAAACAAAACTCAGGCTGGTTACAGCCTAGCTGCAAAAACAATATTAAATTTAACAGGGGACACTCCAGCTTAAGAAGGGGTCCTTAAATTTGATTGATGATCATTTGGCAGCACTTGAGAAAGGGTACAACCAACAAAAAACATGTGATGCACATTATGCAACAAATTATATACAGTATATAATTTGTTGCATAATGTGCATCACACGTTTTTTAAGCTGGACTGTGTTAATGCCTGTTTTACCTAGCGTCTCTTTCTTCTGGATGCACTCCTGCACCGAAAAAAACCCCAGACACTGACACTGATGCTTAGATGGACCTTTTTGCATTTTCTGCTAAACTTTCACACCTTGTTTCCAGCCACACCTCCAAACCAGTACAAATATCAATGGATTTTGACACACAGTAAAAGACACCAATATTGTCCATTATAATTTTATTAAGCACATTCCATGTTTAAAGTGATGACAAAAAAAAATTTTTTGTGTAAAAAACAGAAATGCAGAAAATCAAAAGCAGCTCAAATAATTACGATACCCCAATGATGTTATGGCATACAATGCAGTGTCCTGTATGGAGTGTCTATTCCTGTAAATTGACTATTTCTTTAAAATGTGTCTGTTTACTGGCTGAGCTTAATCTCCACTAAGCAGAATGAGGATTTTTTTTTCTAATGTCACAATTCTGTACATAAAAAGTCCACGTTTCTACACTGTAGCATTAGCGCTGAAATGATTGCAAGGATTGATCCCTTTTCCTTCTCGCTAGGGCTAACACTCTATATTGCTTACTGAAAATAATGTGGAACCAGATGTCTGCCTTTTCTTATACTGTAGATAGTTACCATTTAGGTACTGGAATCCTTGCTTCATTCTGATTGTATGAAAATAGAAGGGAATAGTCGATTATCTCAGGGGACCATTATAAAGTGCTGCTGAGTCTATTGCCCCCTGAAAGAAGGAAACTTCATGAGGGGGTCATCAAGGTAGGCCACAGCCAAAATGCTCTGCCTCAGTTCTGGGTAAAGCCAGTGCAAGGGCCAGAAATCTTGTGAAAACCAAACCTTTAGCTAGGCTAAAGCCAAAAAATAGAATTTAAGCTCCCAGAATGCAAAGTGCAAAAGGCACTGATGACAGGGACATAAATATAGGCAACTTCTTTGCTTTCTTTTAAAGTATAACTAAAGGCAAAGCATTTTTACATTTAAATGAGTAGTGAGGGGATAGAACCACTCTCATATTCTTATAGGTGCCTGTGTCCCCATTAGGGAGATTCACTCTCTAGCTGTCCTGAATAACAATGTCACCAGGAACGAAAGGGTGGATATGGGTATGGCAGTAGATGTGTTCTATGCACAGTAACATGCAGCTAACCATAAAAGTTTATATATCAATGACTCTTTGCTGTAAGTTCAAGCATTTTTTTAATTTGCAGCTGTTCACTGTATGTTTAAAAACCTTGCAGGGTCAGATTTAGATAATTGTATGCTTGTATAAGTATTGTATTTTATACAATACTTATGCAAACATTGAGACTATAATAACATAGTTGGGCTGTCTGCTATGAGCAATATAGGTATAGAGCATTCTTTTTATTAGCTTATTTTTCAATGGATGGGCTAAGTACATTGACCTTGTACTATCTTTTCTTGAGTGTTTTCTACACTGGAAGCCTCAATTGTATCATCTCTGCAAACGATATATCTACTAATAATATTATTGATTGTATACTTGAATTTCTTTATTTTTAGTGTGTAGATAATGGGGTTCATAACTGAATTGAGGTGGGACAGCAAAATACTGAGAAACAGAATAGGTTGGAAAGCACCAGACTGTACAACAGGAGGATAAAAGTAGGTTACACAGTTTAGGATGGATATGGGCAACCAGCAGATTGCAAACAGGCCCATTATCAAGAATAGGAAAGATGTTGTTTTATGTTCTTTTACATAGGAAAATGTTTTCTCTTGGAAGCCGGAGATATTTTTCTTCATGTGTTTTCTTATAAGCTGAAATATTTTTATATATAACACTGTCATTGCGAATAAGGGTATAAGAACCCAACCAAAAAAGCAAAAGAAAACAAGAAAGTCGTAACGCATGACACTGGGAAACGTACAAGTAAAGTTACTGTTTTCTTCATCAAAAAGTCTAGACCTGTTGTTCCATCCAAACATTGGAACCAGTGCCCCAGCTGCTGACAAAATCCAGGACACGAAAATACATATGGAGGTCCTCTTTTTGGTGACTACATTTCTATACCTATAAAAAGAAAAATCCATTAATAATACAGTAAATTATTTTAGTAATTCTTTACGCGCCACTTAATTATGGTTTCACTACATATAATGGTCAGCGATAAAATCTATAAATGGATCCTATAAAATATCCTTATGAAATCTTATATAATGCAAGAAATAAACACTTTCAGTCCAAAATAATCAATGTAGAAAGATGATGTCCACCAATGCATTCAGTGATTAATATTGTGCAAAAGTAGGTGCAAATAAAAGTTTCTTGATATAGGTATGTACAGGTGAAACTCGAATAATTAGAATATCGTGCAAAGTTCATTTATTTCACTAATGCAACTTAAAAGGTGAAACTAATATATGAGATAGACTCATTACATGCAAAGCAAGATAGTTCAAGCCGTGATTTGTCATAATTGTGATGATTATGGCTTACAGCTCATGAAAACCCCAAGAACCCCAAATCCACAACCTCAGAAAACAAGAATATTACATGCAATCAATAAAACAAGTTGTACATAGAACAATATCGGACCTCTGAAAAGAACAAGCATGCATATGTACTCAGTACTTGGTTTGGGCCCCTTTTGCAGCAATTACTGCCATTACTTTTGCACGATATTCTAATTATTCGAGTTTCACCTGTATATGATATCTTCAGATGACACCTCTCACTGTCTCTGTGCCAGCCAACAAGCATAGACCGTATTCACCAGATTCGTTGGACCATTAAATATGGAATGGTCATATCACTCTCAAATTAATGATGTGTGTTCCTCCACCAGGATTCTGTTCCTCTTACATCCACACTCCTCTTCTCCTCTCAGAACCATCAGATCACAGTTTCTGCAGCCCGTGCACAGTCTCCGCCAATTCCCCCTTTTGCTCGGACAAGTGCTTCAATTTGCTGTTAAAGCACCTGTTGGAGCAGAAGTGTCAGAACTGCGTATATATTTTCAACTAGAAAAAACTGTGTAGTAAAGGTGTAACAGATGAATGGTGCCACTTCTGAACAACATGAGTGCTTTAATAGCTTTGAATATGATAGGAGAGTAACAATAGAATAGTGGCAGGTGATAGAAGCTAATCAACTTCACAAGGCATGTTGAAAAAATAGAGCCTGGTTATAAAGTAGCCACAGTCATAAAGTCACTGCTTTAAAGGATACATTAATACAAAGAGCACTTTTTGCCCCTTTTGCTCTGACCTTACCAAACCCACCCTCCTCCTTCACAGATGCATACCTACCATAATCCGGTGCCCACAGGCTACAGTGCTTGCTTACATTGCCACAGTTACCAGTGAAATATTGCGAAGCACGTGTTCCTGCTACCTTTGAAGGGTCATTCCTTTTCTCCTATAAGACTTCTCCCCATCCACCTGTTCTGCATTTGAACAATGAAGCAGACCAGTTGATCTCCAGCATTTGAGGACCCTACTGCAACCTGACAGTGGTAAGCAGTTTTCCCCAACCTGACCTATACAGCCTCAATAGAGGGGATTATATCCCAGACACCGTTTAGCTGATTGATTAAGGGGACAGTTTTCCAAAATCCCCTTTAGGAAAGAGATGGTTAGAGAAAATCAAAACTGGGTGTCGGTCCTAAAATCTGCCAAGCTATCTTATACTATGTTGCGCTTGTGGTTACACAACACACACAAGTTACCTGTGGATTACAAAGTGAGTTATTTGTTTATTACAAGCTATATAGGGCCCCAGCTTTGCTGGCTGTGCACATTTACATATATTTTGTATATCTATTGTTTACTGGCTGGTGAGACAAAAGAAGAAACTGTAATTTGTCCTATTTAGAATTACACTAAAATTATATTTTTGGTACAAAGCATGGCAAAGTTATTTGCAAATAAACAGGCTTTTTGTTCAGTTTTGTGAATTTGTAAATGTAAAATAACAAATATGAGTATAAAAAAAATAATAGTAAAAATAGGAATAAAAAAGCAGAAAAATTATAGCTAAGGGGAGAAGGGAATTTTACACAGGATGGTGTCACATGACCGCCCCTCCTCTCCTCCAATCACATCCTTTGAAATTAAAGAAATTTTGTGACTAGACAATAGTGAGGAGGGGCGGGGGATGCGACCGCAGTGCTGTACTGCTCCCCCTCATCAGTGCAGCAAGGTAAGATTTTTATACTTTGCAGTGGCCCTCTGCACATAACTCCCAGCTTTTTAATGATAATTTACACACTAAGTGTGTAATTCTGGACTGCATATTTTAGGTTACAAAAAGCATCCTGCAATACCCAGTTCTAAATAAAAGACTTTCCTCACCCCAATGAATATTCATTTTCAGATGGGACAAAGTTGGTGCTTTCAAGAAGGCTAAACAAAAATGCTGTATGTCACCAAAAACCACAATATATATGTCCAATAAAGTCTTACTTCACTGCAAAATTCCAAAGCTTTTTTATTTAAGGAAGAACTCTGGGCTCTAGGGAGCTAAAATAACAGAGTTATAGAATAATAGAGTATACTCACCCGAACTACAATCCCAATAGGCTGTTAGACTGGTCCCTTTAGCCTTGCTGCCCCTCTGTTCCAGCGATCTTAGTTCCAGTGATTTATCGTGTCATAGACAACGTAAAGGATTTGAGGACGCCAAGGGATATTTCATCGCTAAAGCAGAGGAGAAGACAAGCTGGAGGGACCAGTCTAGGAGCCAGCTGGGATTGTAGTTTGGGGACACCAGGGGCGGACTGACCTTTCGGGCACAGAAGAAGAAGAAGAAGAAGAAGAAGAAAAAGAAGAAGAGAAGAATATTAGGGCAAAACCACAGTATATAAAGGCCGAACATAGTAGATGACTGTATACAATGCTGGATATAAAGACCACAGATGTCATATTATGATAAAATATAACAAATTATGTACAATCCATCATATCATCCTTTAGCATGCATGCAAGAAAAGCTTGTCGTATCGCCTTGCTATGCATACATCCATGCTATGTGTAGTATGTAAAATGCATCATACGTGTCTTAACACATGTCATAAAACAAATGAGTGCCGGTGATCTCCATCTTCACAACACTACATATATACATCGGGGGGACACACAGTGACAGCTATCAGCAACAGCCTTAGACTGACAACTGTGCCCAAAGATGTAAGGTGAGTGAAAGTAGTGCTGTGAATTATTAACAGAGCCATGCATGACACATATTCTTCACAGGGCTGGTGCATGCATTTTTGCCTACACAGGGGAAGATACGTTTTTCCACCTGCCCCCCCCCCCGCACCCTCAGGCTGCAGCCTTACGCCAGCCCTGCTTGAACTGCTTGCTGATTGTCTCCAGCTCCCTCGTTTGGCCCTGACCTTTGGACTATCCAGCGCTCGCGGATCCAGGTGAGAGGTGAATGGCGGGTGTCACGCTGGTACTTCAGGGACCTGGCCTCTTGTGGGGCAGCCTACTGGACCTGCTAAAGGTGAGCGCTCGCCCGTATTCTGGCATGGAAGGAGCTGCCCATTAACGTGTGTGCAGGTGACGTTCCACAGGGGTCAGAGTGTATGTGTGTGTGTGTGTGTGTGTGTGTGTGTGTGATTGCTGATCCTGGAAAGTTTGTTGTGTATTTGTCATTCTAACTGCTTAGTCTGCGGTCTGCCATGCATTGAAACTGGTCTGCAGTCTGCCGTGCATTGGTGCTGGTCTGTAGTCTGCCGTGCATTGGTTCTGGTCTGTGGTCTGCCGTGCATTGGTTCTAGTCTGTGATCTGCCTTGCATTGGTTCTGGTCTGTGGTCTGCCATGCATTGGTTCTGGTCTGAGATCTGCCGTGCATTGGTGCTAGTCTGAGGTCTGCCCTGTATTGGTTCTGGTCATGGGCAGACTGACCATTTGGGGGCTTTACTGCATGCACTGAAGCATTCTGCACATGCAATATGCGCCCAAACCTCCGCTCTGGTCCTAGAATATTCAGTTACCCTGCCAATTTTCCTACTAATTCTCCTGCAGATCACCCAGAATAATTGGCAGAATTGAAGAATCCAGGTAAAAATAGCTCAACCAGAAAAATTCTGCCATTTAGCTCGCTTTCCAAATGACCTATATTGGTCTAGATTTTGAATGTCTCCTACTAATTCCCCTGCAGTTCACTTTTATGTGAATAGACCTGCTTTTTTGAAAACAGTGTGAAGAAATCATTTCTGCAACACAAGAATGTATATGTGGGTGGGTCCTCTATGTGTGGAGCACAAGGGGGCCCCTTAATCTCATATTGCCCGGGGGCCCCATGTGTTGTCAGTCCACCCATGGTGTTCAGTGTAAGGACAGCTCACCGCCGAACACAGCGGCACACAAGAGAAGGTGGGGGGAGGGAGACAGCTCCTTGTACGAGTAACAATAAATACAAAAACTTAGATAAATAGGAGGAGGATGGAACGATCAGGGACAGGGCATCAAATGTCAAGGAGAGATATAAACAAACAGCACAGAAAGACATTAGGGTAAAACCACAGCATATAAAGGCAGAACCAGGTATACGACTGTATACTGTGCTGGATATGAAGACCACAGATGTCATATCATGATAAAGTATAACAAATTATGTAAAATCCATCATATCATTCTTTAGCAGGGCCATTTAGCATGCATGCAAGAAAAGCAGATCTGAGCTGATTTGATGTTTATCACTTTTATTGATAACCTTTGTATTTGATGTACGTTTTGATTGCAACAAGGAATTTCATAATAAGACATAATTTATTACACTTTTTCACGAAGTGACATTTGGTATTTATTTATTATTTCACTGGCTATCACTTTAGTATGTTAATAACGATTGTGAACACATACAGGTGAAACTCGAATAATTAGAATATACACGTTCTTTTGGTTACAATTAATTACGCATTTGATAGTTCACCCATTGGTGACCCCGAGCGCTGCACACCCATCTATATACAATTTGACCTCAGTGTCCCGAGCGCAGCAGCTTTTAATTTTATTATTATTTATATTGAATATTTTTTAATTATATTTAATTTTACTTATATCCATAAGCGCGGATTATACATATTTTACCTGTCCAATTGCCTTGCTATACATCCACGCTATGTGTATTATGTACAATGCCTATAGGGGCGCATGTATCATGCGTGCCTTAACGTATGTCATATGACAAATAAGTGCCGGTGATCTCCATCTTCTACAATTTTGGAATACACTGTGCCACCCGTGCAATCACTACAAGCACCAAAATCATTAATCTAGCTCCAATCGCTGTAAGGAGTGTAGGTGACACATCACAACACTACATATATACATCGGTGAGACACACAGTGACAGCTCTCAGCTACAGCTTTAGACTGACAACTGTGCCCAAAGATGTAAGGTGAGTGAAAGTAGCGCTGTGAATAATTCACAGAGCCATGCATGACACGTATTCTTGTATTCTTCACAGGGCAGGTGCATGCATTTTTGCCTATACAGGGGAAGATACGTTTTTCCACCTGCCCCTCCCCCCCCCTCCCGCACCCTCAGGCTGCAGCCTTACACCAGCCCTGCTTGAACTGCATGCTGATTGGCTCCAGCTCCCTCGTTTGGCACTGACTTTTGGAATGTCCAGCGCTGATGGGTCCAGGTGAAAAGAGATGGTGGAATGGAGGGTGTCACGCTGGTACTTCAGGGACCTTACCTCCTGTGGGGCAGCCTACTGTACCCACCTACTGGACCTGCTGAAGGTGAACGCTTGCCCATGTTCTGGCATGGAAAGAGCTGCCCATTAACGTGTGTACAGGTGACGTTCCACAGGGATCGGAGTGTGTGTGTACGTGTATGGGATGGCTGATCCTGGAGATGTTGTGTATTTGTCATTCTAATTGCCTAGTCTGCGGTCTGCCGTGCATTGGTGCTGGTCTGGCAATAAGACACTGGAGCAGTTGGGGTTTGCAGTCTGCACATGCAATATGCGCCCAAACCCCCGCTTTAGTCCTAGATTATTCACGTTCCCTGTCAAATTTTCTACTAATTCTCCTGCAATTCAACCAGGGCAATTGGCAGAATTGAAGAGTCTAGGTCAAAATAGCTTGACCAGAAAAATTCTGCCATTTGGCTCACTTTCCAAATTACCTATATTGGTCTAGATTTTGAATGTCTCCTACCAATTCCCCTGCAGTTCACTTTTTAGTGAATAGAATTCACTTTAGTGCGGAGAAATAATGTCTGTAACACAAGAATTTATGTGGGTGTGGCCTGTATATGGATGGAACACAAGGGGGCCCCATAATCTTGTATTGCCCGGGGGCCACATATATTGTCAGTCCGCCCCTGCCCACCACCACACCTGCACCCCACCTTCTCCCACCACCTAACGTGCCTGCGCCCCCCCATTATCTAACCAACCATTGCAACTGAACCCACCTTCTTTCACCATGCATTGTGCCTACACACCCTTCTCTCACTATGCCACACTTGGACCCCATTTTTTCACAACCCAGCATGCCTGCACCGCCCCCCTTACGAGCCACTGGATCTCCAGTCCCACTTCTCTCAGCACCCACCATGCCTGCACTTCGCCCTTCTCAACACCCACTGTGCATCCAGTCTCCCTTCTCTCAGGAACCACCATGTCTGCATCCTTCTTTCTTAGCACCTACCGCACCTGCTCTCTCCTTCTTCCAGCACCCACCACATATAAATATGCATGTAACTTTATTCAAATAAAGAAAAATGTATTTCATCTTACCTGTTTGGTACCTTAATTCTCATGTATCTGTCAAGAGCTATTGCCAATAGAGATAAAATAGATGCGTTTGTCATCATGATGATCACACAGCAAATAAACAGGCAGGCATGAAAATACATTTGTATCTCCAGGGTCAGGATGATGGCCAGAGGCATAACCAAAGCTCCAACTGCCAAGTCAGCCACTGCCAGAGACACAATAAAGTAGAAAGTTGTATACTGCAGGGCTGGATTCCTTTTCACTGCCCAGATCACCAAGGTGTTTCCCATAATAGCAAATATTCCAATGACTGCTTCCACCACCATGTACAGAATAAGGCTATCTGTCACTGGTGTTTGGTTAGACATGACAGGATGGCTCTACTATGGGTACCTCTTTGTAGAAAATACATTTTGAGCAATGTCAGGTATACTTATAATAATCTTTCTTTTAGTAACTCCCACTTGCTATTTAAAGATCTGGTCCACAAAGGAAACCAATACTTCCTTTGCTTTAAGTGTGCTACTTTGAAACTTTTTTACATTTTTGACAGCTATTTAAGAAATGGAGGAACGCCAAAACTTCTACCCTTCATTAGCCGCCACAGACATTGACGTCACCGGACTCCTCCCTCCTTCCCTTCGTTAGCCGACTGAGCCACTTGGGGGAGGAGTCCAGTGATGTGTGTGTGTGTATATATATCTCAAAAGCAAATAAACCAAAATTGGCTATTATTATCACCTGGTAATAGGTTATTTCATATCCTGCCTTTCCTCGTATTCTTTACCTTGTGTGCTGTTTCCATTGCTTTGTCCCTTGCTACTCGACTAGTACATGATTTCTAATTGATTAACTTCTTCAACCTGGTATTAAGCTCCTGCCTATTACCCCTAGTGGATGCATAAAGCATGTGTGCTGTTTCATGTATTTTGGCAGGTGGTCCAGCTCTAGTGTTAGTTCTTGGACCCAACAGTGGCGGCAACTGCTAAAGTTACAGCACAGACTGAAATGTCCACATACATGTTTGTGAAGGTTTTCAGTCATTCTGGTCATGAGATATATAGTGGTAGTGGTTCAAACACAATTTATCCACTGAGGGGTCTATATTGGTTAAACGCTCATTACATTACATTACATCTTCTTCTGTATTCTATCCAGGGAGCTCTTTGAAGTTGATTATAAAACTGATTTGACAAGCAATATTGCGCAGCACTTTAAGGTAAGATCTAGTGCCTCTACATAGATAAAAACCAAATAAAAAAACGTTGCGTCAATAATAGTCATCAGCAAGCACTAGTGGTCCTAGATACACCACTAACTTCACAACTAAAAACTTAAAACATATAAGTGCCGTGCTCTCCTTATATGGTGTGCTAATAATATGTGATATAAGGTATATAAAATGTGTACTGGGTGACTATAAATTGCACTTAAACAATTGACTCCAAATAAACAGTGAGAAATCAATAAACAATCAACAATAAGATTCCCAATTACAATGTGGAGTCAAAAACATATCAAGTCCATAAGGGTTAATATGAGTGAAACAATCTGTTAGGGAACCAAGAAACCAGAAAGAAACTTAAAGTGCAGGTTTAAAAAAATAAAAGGAGTTTATTGAAAACAGCAATAAACATAAATGGCAAAAAAAACAATAGAAAAAGTCCCGGACGTTGTCAGTACCAAGCCAGAGGTCAGATGCCAAAGTAGGTAGTCAGCCGAACTAGGTTGGGAACACTGAGAGCAAGTTGAATGAAAACAATCGCTGGAGTAAGGAACCAGGAGATCAGTCAACCAGAGCCAGGGTCATACACGGAGAACAGGAATTGAAGAGCATGAATAATGTGAAACCTCACACCACTACTCTAATCAAGTTAAGCAGCAGCTGAAATCTGTGTGGTCAGATATAACGTATGAAATTAATGGTAAAAGCCGCGCTGTGTGAATGAGACCGCAAAGTGTCAGATATAGTAGATACTGACCTTGGAGTAATGTGATACAATGTGTAAAAAGTGCAAAACAAAGAAGAAACGCATGTATATAACATGCACCTTAGTGTAAATGTAATTGCTACAAAATATCCATAATGAAAAATCAAACGCACTAAATATTAACTGTGAATCAATGTGATGCAATGTGCAAAGAATACCAACTAGAAAAACGCATGTGTGTAACTTGCACTACAGTGAAAATAATAAATGGTTAAAAAATGTTCATGATCCTGGATCTTCAATAGTCCATTAAGTAAATAGAAGATAAAACATTGGATGTAGAATAGACTTAAGGTGGCCATACACTGTACAACCATCGCAAGACCTTAGTCTTGCGATGGTTGTAAAGTGATTAAAAAAAACGTACGATCTGCCCATCTTGAACAGGCAGATCGTACTCTCGATCATCGCAAGCCCGCCCCCCTGAGTGGCGGGCTTCCGATGACCGCAATGCTGAACGGGCAGTGTGCGCGTGCGCACACCGGCACGTTCGGCATTTATCTCCCGAGCACTGTTCAAACCAGCCGAAAATAGTACGATTCTCGGCTGGTTTTCTAACATGCTCCTTAGACAACAACAAATGCTCCTTAGACAACAACAAAAAATCATTTTTGTTGTATATAAATGATTTATTTTCAATAATACCAGGCACTGTATTATTGTGTAATAAGTGTATGTGGGGAGAGATCATGGCAATACTGGTCAGACCAGGCACAGGTTGTTCTCAGAGGTGGGCTCCGCCATGAAGAGGCGATGTGCTGAGATTCCGCCCAAGGCCTTGAGTACCTTGAGACACCTTGGTTCAAACTATTCCAGGGGATCTGAGCCACTACAGAGGTATCCAAGGAAAAAAAGTGTTAATGGATGCCTGGTGTCACAAAGCTATAACATGTGAAATGCGTGCAGACTGGCACGCGACCACTGCTGGGATCAATAGGCGGACAGAGATCTGTGGATGGACTGTAACTGTTCCCATAGAAGAAACGGACCCAGCTCAAAGGACTATCGCTAATACTCAGTAAGGATCAGTGGAGCAGAACCTTATTTTGTTTATGACAATTTCTTTTTGGCTGGATGCCTGAAACCTTTTTGTTTATTGCTGTCTGGATTAAAGCTGGCAATTTTGTTATGAGAGACTGTGAGTTTACCTCTACCTTGAGACTAGTTCCCTAGAACATATATGATCATATAATAATATATACTACACCACATGATTACTTTGGAAAAAACTTGAATATACACTCTTGTAAACAGACAAAACCATATTATAAACTCAATGCAATGTAACAATAATAGGTAGCCAAAAAATGTGTATTATTCTGGAGAAATCAGTTAGTCCTTTTGAGGACCACAACGATATAATTAATGTTTTGGTGAGCAACAGAAAACAATGTATTTCTCTGTTATGGAGAAGTACAGAAGAGCTATATATATTAGTACATATACTACAGGATAAATACACATATATGAGTATATATGTTTGTTGACAAGAATGGTATGCTGGTATATAGTTGTAATGTGGGGCCCTGTGTTTTTAAGTGGTTTTAAATAATCATTACAGGTTGGTTCTGAAAACTAAAAAAAAAAATTCTGATTGCTATATTGAGGTATATTTTTTATATTAATCATATATTTTCCTTCTATATGAGGTGTTCCATAATGGGAATTTTTGGAATTTTTATTTAGTTTTGAGTCTGGAACTTGAGTCTGTACTGTCGGACAGAAATTACTGACAGCCTAATAGTTAAATCTTTATTTTAATGTCGGGTGCTGGAATGCAGAGAACTTTTCAAGTGGTCTGACAATCTACTGTCGCTCTTCTGCCCTCTAGTGCCCAATAGGTGGTGGACCCAGCACAGCACATGGCCGATTGCACACAGAAAGCCAACCCAACCAGGGATTTGGTGCCTATTTTTCACTTTAATCACTATGTATTCTGACTCCGATCGTTGTGATAGCGAAATATATCCCTTGCTGAGACCTCTATGCCTGGCCTGTATAAGCAGATATACTCACTGCGGACAATCCTCGTCAGATAGCTGAACTCGTCAATACCGATTCATTCAAAAGAGGTGTTTATTCTTTACATCAGGATTACAGCAGATGATAGGAACAGCAAATGAATGGTTTCAGTATTGTGCGGTCAGAAAATGATGCCTTTCCTACGTACTGTGCAGATTACCTGTGTGTCCTTGTTACATGTGGCTTTTAACTGTGGCCATGACACAGGAAGTACTGCACACAGGAAGAAGGAAGGGGCGTACACTAGGGGGAAATATGTCGTCACATGAGGAATAATTACAGAAAAACATGTTTGTTACAACAAAAGGCCACTAGATGGCAGGATAGGATAACACATGGATTTAGCTATGAGAAAATATATAGGCACACACACTATGTAAAACTTCTAGCTATACTAACTTCTACAACATATTCTATGCCCCATTGGGGCGGCACACTATGTCCTCGACCACCCCTAACCCACCAGTTTCAGACTCAAGAAGATGTTTTCTATATCGGAACCTTAGTTACTTAATTTAGTATTTTTGTCTTGGTTAGGTATGTTGAAGGTGCTGCTAAGGTGGCAAAAGTCAGGATAAACCATTTTTTTGTATCCTACAATGCCTAGGAAGATTCTAATCTGCGTTGTGCTGTCAGGAGTGGGCCGATTACTAATCACTTCCACCTTTTGTATGTGAGGTGAATCAAGGTACTTTAGGTAACAAAGGTGACATGCCTCTTTCAAATCTATGATGCATTTCTTTGGGTTTGTTGTTAAGCCCTCTTCTCTTTGGAGTGCAGTATAACCAGTACCCCCGGGGAGATGTCTCTCCCAGTCAGTGCTTAAGACCACTACATCATCTGGGTAGGCCATGGCAAAGTGCTGATCGGGCCTAGAGATCTGATCCGTCATTCGCTGAAATGTAACAGGAGCCTCTTGTAGACCAACGGGTATTGGAGCAGGAAAGAACCCTGTAGGGTAAGAACCCTGCAGAGTAGAAAATGTATTTTCTTTTGCCTTCTCCATTAGTTGCGCCTGCCAATAACCCCTAGTTAGGTCAAGGGTTGTTATGAATCAGTTTGGGCCTTTTTTACTATGTCTTCTGCTATCAGCACTGTAGTGGTTTGCAGATTCTGCCTGCATGTCAGGAAGCCAGTACCAGCCTGTGCGGTCAAGGATCTGAGCAAGTACTTGCGCATGTGTATTGGTACAGTTTGGCACATAGAATTGTGCAAGACCGTGTGCATCTGCACATGTCTGCACTCGTCTGTGCGTGCATTCCTCGCGATGCGCGTGTACGTGTATATGCACTAATTACGAACTATAGTGTCAATTGGGCTATTTAAGACTGTGACATCCTAGCCTCCTTGCTGAG